TCATTCTCATAAAGGAAATCACCCCAGGTCGTCTTTTCGTCAACTACAACCGTGACCTTCAGCCGATGTCGACAATTGTACCTGTCGGGTACCTAAGGTAGTTAGTGGACTCTAGTGTTGTGAGGTTATGTTGAGTCGGAAGTCGAAGTTCGTCGACAGGCAGTCATATCATGATCCGCGCCAAGACTCGATATGTCAAAGCTTTCACGACAGGAGAAGCGCAAAAAGCGTGCAGCCGTCATCGAATTTCAATTGTTTGCAAGGCTGGGAGTAGGAGCAAGAAAGCAATTGGTTCAGTATTTGGTGTTACAATCTTATTGGTACAAGTGAAGTTGAAGTTGAAGCTACACTATGGCACGAAGTACAACCCATACGGCCAGAATCGTCAAGTCATGTACAAATCTGCAAAACGCTTAAGGCGAAGCTGCGTCCATTTGGCCGTATGAAGACGCGATGCCACATTCCCGAGCCCGGTTCGTAATGGCAGTGGCAGCGAAGCGAACAGCCGCCCAAGCAAGGAAATCCAGGTCACACTGAGACCGCTGCTCGACACTTGAGAAATTTCAACCCTGATGAGATGGCGCCGCGAGATCGTGCATCGATCAATTGCGTCCAACTGTCGTACATCTCTTATGTCAAAACAAGAGAATTGTCTCCCGCGCCTTGGAAGCATATTCATGCATTTCCGTGACGGTTGAGCCATCCGCGTCAACATGAGAATCTGCTTATGGTCGCGAGCATACATGCCTCCGTTGTCGTTATTGTTGCTTGAGCGCTCCCTCTGATCGATATAGATGCCACATGTGACGGCGCATTCATCGCTCTGCACCCGTCCCATATGCTCGACCTCCCACTTCGTCTCATGCTCAGCAGGTGAATCCGTTCGCGCAAAGCTTGTCTCAGCGACCATGGAAATCTGACTCTCCTCTCAAGCTTAGGTGCTCGACGCCATCTGGATCGAGCAGCCTAAACGTTCATTCAGCCACGCCAGGAACAAAAATGGCCCTTCTCGGTGTCTGTCTTCACGGCGCCTTTTGCTCCTCACTCTTGGCCTGTGAGCCAATCTCTTGCTGTGTGACCGTCTCCTGTGCAAGCTCTGCCTGTGCCTGCGCCGCTTGTGCGGCCAATTGTTCTTGATGCTCAACCAGATGCTCGTATTCATAGGGACTTAATCTCTTCCATTCTCTCAGAAAGTCAAGTCCGTCCACCTTCTCGGGCGTCTGAAGGGTTCCATTGACGTGTCGAACTCGAAGCGTCGGTTCCATCTCCAAGCTCACAAAGGGTGTAAGCTACCAAAGCTGTTAGCACCGCCTTTATATGCCTGTTCCCGGGTGTCAACTCACGTAGAAATTCTCCATTTCTGGTACATTGTAGTGTGTGGTCTTCCGCCAATCGATAATATATCCTCCACCCGCAGTATGAGCACCCTTGGAGCCAGTTCGATTTCCTCGGTAGAAGCCGCGTCCGACTTGTTTGGTGGTGAAGCGCAGGCGAGCACAAAGCTGAGGAGAAGGCTGGAACATGTTGTAGTAGCCAGGCGGCGAGAGCGAGCTGAGAGATGCGTAAGTGTGGTTTCTCTGCTGGTTCTTGAAGAGATCAGACTCTTGCATTGAGCGGCGCAAATAAATGTGTTCGCAGGGCTATCGTTCTAATCAGGACTCGTGTCCTGCTGCTTTTATTTCGTTACAGCCTTGCGCAGCCTTGTAAGTAAGGATGACCACGGATGACATAACCCTCTTATCAAATGGCGACATAGAGTTAGCTTCTTATCTACAACCATCTCAACTGTATCTACTCCGTACCATCTTAGTTGTTCGACCGTGATTTGGCAGGAGGGTTGATCGTCCGTCTGCGAAATGAATCTTGTGACTTGTTTATGATGCCGCCCTTGCGGGCAGGTCGAGCCTCCAAAGCATGCCAATCGTGTCGGAAGCAGAAAACTCGCTGCTACGCGTCCGACAACACTAGAGGTATCTGCCTCCGTTGCGAGACACTGTCGCAGCAATGTTCACTGGAGTACGCTGGCACCTACGGGAGCCTGGCTTCTCCAATTCAGCGACATGAAAGAGTCAACACAGAGGAGTCTCCAGCTAGAAGCGGAACAACTTCGGTAGACCAAAGGTACGACTTCCTACCTTGCCTGCGGCGTGATGCTTGGTTGACAGGATCGAAAGGCTTGAGCGACTAGAGAGCACTGTCCATGCTTTGGTGCAGCGGCTCGATTCAAGCAATTCCGTCGTCAGCGCTCGTTCGATTCCAGATCGGCATCCCCCGAGAATTCTGGCTCAGACTTCGTCAGAGGACCAAGACCAGGCACCAGTGCTCTGGATCCGAGATGCCGCTGCAGATGCAGGAGTTCAGTCGCCGCAGCACGTCCAAGCTCGGCCACAACAGCATTCGGATGTTATATCTACAGGATTGGTGGCATTGTCGACCGCCCATTCTTTGCTTTCTTTGTACGTACGGGCCGCGGTTTTCCTAGTCGCCGAGATAGAAAGGTGGTAAGGTCTGACCGAGGTGGTTTCCGCTACGCTATCGACAGTGCTCGTTGAGTCATGGCTGGGCAAGACGCAGAGGACGATTACCTGTCGTTTGTTCGTTCGGGATCTCATCGACTTCGATACATCATGATACGCCTGCTTCTGTCCTCTCAAGTAGACATCGTCTCACAATGCGAATCCCTCTTACAAAGCTCTCCCTCGACGTACGGGGCGCCTCGGTCAGACCACATTGCCACGTTTTCTCTCCACAGGATATCGCCTCCTTGCTAATGCCAGAAGCAGGTTCCACATCCATTATGGTCGGTGGGTCAGATTCGAGGAAACCATGGCCACTGAAGCGCTACTGTCGCATGTCAGGAAGTCGCCGCTACTGTTGTGTAGCATTTTCTTGATTGCAGTGCGACATACCACGCAGGAGCTTGCAGACCAGCTAGCGCCTACCTTGTTCGATGAGGCAAAGAAGCTTGTTGCCTCGTCATTACTGGTTGTGCCACAGTCGGTCGAATTTTTTCAGGCCACGCTTGTGCTGAGCTTGTGGTCCACAACTATCGGACAGGTCCCGTTAAGCATCGACAGCTGGCTTCTCACAGGCTATGCGCTCCAGCAAAGTCTTGCAAGTTCTCATTTCAACCGAGTCTTTCAAGATGAGGAGACTCTGTCGGTGGCAAAAGTCGACCTCGATGCATGGTGTATCTGGAATCATCTATGTGTGGCCCATCTGCAGTAAGTCATGCCATCCTCCCCGTCTCTCGTCATGTGTATCGTCTGCATTCTCGAATCCCTTATACTATTCCCACACAAGTATAACACACCGGCCTTGTGCCTGACATCCGCGGCAACGCCACCCTCTGACATGCAGTTTTCAGGTATTGTGTCGGCACCCGTCGACCAGCGCTTGTGAACCAGGCACTCGTCGATCGTGGTCTCCGCTTCCTCGAGTCAGACATGGTCACCAACTTCGAAGCAAGAATGGCTGCTGAGGTCAAACTTTACTGGATTATCTACAATAACTGCTGTGGTACAGAAGTCGATTTGGAACATGCGAAAAGCGCACTTCAAGCGTGGCAAAGGGAATGGGCCGCACTATTCAGTATGAATACCTATAGCTTCGTATAAGACCACTCTTTGCTGACTACAATCTGCAGACCAGCCACGGTCCCAATTCCTCCAGATGGGCTTCCATTTTGCTCACCTCCTGGCTTACTGCCAGTCGCTGAAGTCAACACGTGCGGTCATGCGCAAACCTCTCCTGACGGAGATGATCCAGGTTTCCAGATCAATCATCAACCTTGCCATGGACACAACTGACGAACGTACTCGACATTTGACCGATCATATCTACCACATAATTACTTTTTCTGCGCTCACTCTCTGTCGTCTCGTTCACACCTACGAAACAAGACTTCGAGCAGCCAACCAGGACATTGACGCCCTTGACGGCCTTGTCTTTCGGCTTATCGGCTGGCTGAAATCCATTGGTCTGCCGTGCCATGCAGCTCATCTACTTGGCGAAGCGGTATTTGCACAGTTCAAGAAATTATGTCCGAATTTCAGGCCTGAGGCAGCACCTTCTTCCAGGAAAGGCTGGGAAGCTGATCCGGTCTCTCTCACCCTGGACCAACAACCGTCCTCCAACGACATGAGCTTTTTTTATCCCGATTTCATCGGATCCGAGTTATTTGACTTGAACGACACGTTCTGGCCACATTGGGACATGATGTTATCGGATACTGATATGTCAGTATAAGAACGAAGAAAGATTGACATTTTCTCGCAAGTTGAACCTACTGATCTGGAAATGAATGCAAACAATCGGCGCAAATCCGCTACAAAAAAAGTAAGAAGGTACGAGCGACGTTCAATCTCTGGCAGGGAATATATCTGGGGTTTTAGAGATAGCTAGACGTAAAGGTCGGAGATGTGAGAGAGGAATATGCTTACGTTGGACGCCGAAGGGTGCGTTCTCCTCCTGGGGAACATGAGTCCCTATACACTCCATCAAGGGCCTAACGTGGTCGCCTGAACTGGTCGGTTAGATTGAAACGGGTTGGGCCGATTGTCTTTGCCAGTGAGTGAAGACATGCGTGGGCATATGGCCTACGACGATCGATTTCCGGATGAGACCAGGTAGCCGGCGTCACGACATACAGTATAGGACTCGGAACTTAATGTGGAGATGATTTTCCTAGGACGAGGCTGGTCGGATACCTTTAAATGTTACTTTCTAACTTGCGACTGTACAGTCCTTAGAGCCGATTTGGTACAGGTAGACTCCGAGGGCCTATTCAACTTATTCAACTTATGAATCCGAGCTCTCAGTACACTGTCGTTACTATCAATCTAGGAGTCGTAAGAACCACCCAGAGATCTTCCGTACGAATATCTTGACCGTATCGGGGATAACGATACTGTGACTGTCCTTGATACCTTGAAACAGTGCACCAAAGATGTAAAAAGTGAGTCCTTCGAGGATGCTGAAGGGCAACAAAAAAAGAAATTCTCCTCGACAGGGAATCGAACCCTGGTCTCCCGCGCTCGTTATTATAATGACAAGCGGAAACTAGGTATATATGTTAATCATCAAATCCTCGGATATCGAAGATGAGGTGAGGACTTACTCATGACCACTAGACCATCGGGGAGTATGAACTGTATCTAGAGGTACAGGACGATCTTTATGTGGCACATTGTGTGTGCTAATTATGACGCAATTTTCGGTAGCTCATAACTATATAGCAAATCTTTCTGGCTATTTACTAGGTCTAAGCTTCCTGCTTGATTACTTTTATAAATTATCCGTCATCGCCGTTATCTTAGTGTATCCTAGTCATATATATTCTTTTTCATTATGTCTCTGACGACCTTCCGACCTATATACACCTTTTCGAACGACCTTAGTGTCCGCTTCTCAGCTTAAGCACCCTGCACGAACCACAGAAAGCTCCTTTGTCCCTTGTTTAGCTATCATCACCATTCACCGGATTATTTAGCCGCTCCTAAGCTGCGTACTATCTCGGTCTCGAACTGCAAGCGGGCCAGAGTCACAATGTGCAGAGCTTCAGCGGAGAATTGGTCCTCGACTCCTGCGCATTTCGGGGCTTGCTCAATGGTCCCATCGTCTGCGACTTTCTCGTCTTCGATGTCTCGTTGTAAGGTTTCCTTTAAGGACTTGTTCGCCACAACGGATTCCTCCTGATAAGGTCAATACTGATGAAGTTCTCTTGCGGACCAAGCAATACATACTTCTAAGTTGACAAGCCGGTCCATGGGCCTCTTATCTCCGAGCGGGATTGCGCACCTGCTGCTCATACTTATTCTATCCACCCGATGGACGAACGCAACTCCTCATCCTTCTTCAGCTCTTTAATTTCAAGTTTCTTTGAGGACCCAATTTCCTAGTTTACAGAAGCAAAAAGTTAACGGGCCAGGGAGTTCTCCTCTCCCTAGTAATGGATACCTGCTACTCTACCCAGGATTCCCTAGTCATGTCGTAGAGGCGAGGCCCCCCGCCAACCAGCACCAGCCTACCTTCGAGGGGGAATCCCGGAAACATAACTGCTGCACCATCGGGGGGTGATGAGTCTTATATAGTGCGACGCGAGGCCTCTACAATCAGCTAATTTAGTTTGAAATCGGGGACTTTAAATGATAAAGCACTGAGGGTCCGGTGTGGTAGAAACGTCGAATTTCACCCGCGGCAGAAGTACACCGCCTGATATTGGCTTTCACTCAGAATACCAAGTGGTGTATGCCGCTTCCTTAGCTTGAGCACCCCACACGAAGCACAGAAGCCTCTTCCCCTTATCAGAGAAGCCGAACTGGCCTACTGGAAGCATCAGGGCAGCTCTGTACTCGGTATAGCTGTTGGCAAGGTAGTGGGATAGACAGGTCCCCTTCGTGCGGCCATCACAGCCTACCAGGAACTCATGGGTAAACTATGCAACGGAACTCGCTTGTCTGGGATGCAAGCAGTTGGTGCTGGAATCGTGGAAGCAGCAGTCAGGCCTCGCATCAAATAGGGGCTTCGCCTACATTATACATTGTCTTGGACCTGGCCTTGAACAGAGGGTCCTTCAACCATGTAAATTGTCCTCGCTACTATTTGTCGTCGAATGGCACTCTAGCGCCAAATCATACGATTTACCTATGAGACGGTACTAGAGATGCAGATCCGCATAGTGCAAGAGATGTAAGTGGCATCAGTTGTCATCGTCATCTTCGTCGGCACCAGAAGCTTCCAGACTCTAGTCCTGGCGAACGACTTCTTCTCCGACCCCCAGACGGATTTGGCGATCGACTGCGCGAACGGCCTGCACGTCTGTGATCAACTGACCGCTGATGTTGTGTGGTTGACAGCTGCGATGTCTCGAAGTTTGGGGATCTCCCTGGAGATAGTACCTTAGATCAGGTTCGAGGTAAATGTCAACAGCCCGGCGTTTGAGAGTGAGGTCAAACACTTCCTGAAGAAAATCGTTGCTAGCAGATGTAGCGCACTAGAGCTCCTCGAAGGCCTTCCAAAAAGCCGCAACTGCACACTTCTATTGATGAGCTCCATGCCGAGCGGACATCGCCCAGCGCACGGGATATACTACTTCCAAGGAAATCACGGCACGCTGCGTATGCCACCTACAGCGGCGACTCCGCTCCGCTCAACACACAGGGCATGCTTGTTGTGAACGTACGATACTAGTATGTTGGAAGCGATGACAGACGTGGATTATGTGAAATCTATTGTAGAGTTGAAGAGAAACTCTGACGTGAATTGGGCCGACGAAGAAAAGGCCCTGGATGATTTTGATGCTGGTTTTCGAGGTTGGAGACAACAATAAAGTTGCATGTTCTTTTCCAAAGTAATCGGTTTAGCCTCCCTCACTTAGCCTTCCACCACAAAAGCCATCGTTGTGCCCGTAGGAGCCTCGCAATTCGAAGGTAATTAATCAAACCATCTCAACTCGTTTTTCTTATACCAGTATCATCCGATATATGTACAATGACCGTCGCGAGGGAACATTTTCTGGCCCGTCCTCGCCGTGACCACGGTGCCCGTGACGTTTCCGGGTTAGCACTGACACGTGCACTGGCACGTGCACTGGTTAGAAACTCTATTCACTCCCGTAGGGCGCTAGAGAAAAAGAACAAGGATATAATTAAAACAGGTTGAAATTTATTCAACAAACGATCAGCTTTCCTGACTTCGTAAGCCCATCCTGTATCTATAGATACAGCGAATCCCCGATGGTCTAGTGGTCATGAGTAAGTCCTCACTTCATACTCGCCATTAAGGATTTAATAATTAACATATGTAGTTTCCGCTTGTCATTATAATAACGAGCGCGGGAGACCAGGGTTCGATTCCCTGTCGAGGAGATTTCTTTTTGCTTTTTTGACTCCGGAGAGGTCTAGCTCGCCCTTTTTGTGCAGAATGAGTCTCTTAGCGGGAATAAGATGGGAATGAAAGGCGTGGGGCTTTCAAGTTGTGTGGCGGCCTTTTCCGGAAATGAAGTGAGATTGAGAACTTGCAGCTGGCACCTGACATCACGTGATAACTCGCTGAGTGCAAGGGGGGCCAGCCTCGTATCATTGCGGGAGTAAACTCTGCAACTACACACAGCTTTAGAGGTTCGAGTTGTCTAGTGGAACGCCTACAAACCACATTCTTTCCCTGATATAGTATTCTCCTAATGTGGTTCACACATCCGAAGTTGTCCTCTCTTGGATAGGTGGGACACCAAACTTGGTCTCAACGCCTCCGTCACCATGGTCAAAAAGGCGATAGATCAACTTCCACACTAGTATCACTACAGCTCCGGCAATGGCACAAGATGCTGCAATGATCAAGCCATGACTATATCGAGGAGCATCTGTTCACCCAGTCAGCTTGTGCGGTCGAGGGGTCAGGAATATCAGATCATCTCACCTTGCGTTCGGAAGAGCTGGGCACCGGGGAACCCAGCCAGCTGGATACTCATAACATAGGCTGCTAGTGCGATGGGACGTTTATAGTCTTGCACCTTGGATGTAAGCCATGCGGCACTGATAGCCTGAGCGGAACCCATGCCCATCTGTGTCATGACAACGCCACCTGGCAAGAGTCAGCATTCCATCTCCGAGTTGAGGGAGAGGTATATACGTACCATAAAGGACCCATCTGCAGACTCCGTTGGGTGCCAATGCCAGCCACAATAGGCCTGCTGCTCCCCACAAATAGCCCACGACAATATGGATGCCACGTTCACGGAATTTGTCGCTGCTGTATGCCAACGAGACGGACCAAACAAGTGCGCACACGCTGCCCACTGAGTTGAGTCCGTTCGCTTGAAGGCCAGTGAAGCCGAGCGATTTGATTATGGATGGTGCGTAGGTATTCATTGGTTGGATCATCATCATTGAAAGAAATGCTCCGACTAGGTGGCCGTATATCCGCCAGTCCATGAATGTCTCCAAGATGTGCGACGGCAAGACGGGCTTCCCGTACCTGAGGGCTTTGGTAGGGTCGTTGCGGATAACACGTGTGACCAGGATGGAGGCTTGTCGTTCAGTAAAGAGGTTGAAAGATTTGCCGAAAAAGGACTTGGGTCTCGCAGGGCCATGAGGTAGGTAGAGGTACGCTGCGACTGCGAGACAGCAAGTGAGTATTCCCTCGACGAGGAATAGCCATTGCCATCCATGGAGACCATGCGTTCCTCGAAGAGAGAGCAGCCCGATGGAGAGAGGTCCACCAAGGGCACCCGCAAAGCTGTTGGAGGCCCAGAAAATGGCGAAGCGTAGGGCAAGCTCCTGATTCGTATAGTATTTTGAAATGTAGAGAGCAAATCCAGGAATATACCCGCCTTCCAACGCACCAATAAAGAATCTGGCGGCGTAGAGTCCTGATGCATTCTTGATGAACACTTGTGACCAGGTTACAATGCCCCATAAGAGCATTGTGATGGGCAGGAATCGTTCAGGACCCATCCATTTGGAGACCATGTTGAAAGGTATTTCGGTAATGACGAAGCCGACGATGAATAGTGTCTGCGCGAGATTGATTTGTGTGTTGCCAACATTGATGTCCTTGAGCATCGTATCGGTCAAGGCAGCTCCGATGTTTGTACGGTCGAATTGGAGGAAGCAGAAGCATAGCACAATAAAAGGCAGAATGAAAGCGTCCACCTTCAACAATGCCTTTCGGGCTTCGGCCGGCTCGAACTGGATGTTGGGATCGTAGCCAGGAACGTTGGTGGAATCATGCGGGAGTATTTCGATGTCATCGTTGGAGTGTTGCATCTGTACAGGGTTTTTGAGCTCGGAAGAGGTACCCATTTTATCGACAGTGAGTACGAAGAAGGTCTCTTCAGTTGGTTATTTGATAGAGGTGCAGCTCGCTGTGAAATGGTGTTATACCGGGTTTCGTTGTTGAGTATTCTTTTCCGTCCATGTTGCGATTGCAGTTCTCTTATACACATCGTGAAGCTGCGCAGAGAAACAAGTCTCTTGCAATGCTGGTCGCGTCCTGTGGACGACTGAAGGCATCATGATAACGAAGTTGACGTGCTGATTGCCATTGGCCTATCGCATGACCCTTTACCACCGGCAAGCCGTAGGTATTGAGCTTGGGCCTCCGGATTCTTATCAGGCCGCCGCAATCCCGTGTCGAACCAGCGGTCAGCCTACGGTATGCCGTAGGTAACCATGATCCTCTATCACAGCATATCTGCTGCCGCCGGATCGCCATGCATTTGAACAAGGCTTCTGGACCAGACCAACACGGGGTCCACCGAAGCACTCAAGGGCAGAGCTGTATATATACTGCAACCGGAGAACAGTAACTCATAAACAGCCACAGTCACCATCACTTATCTCAGAAATTCGGTCGAATAACGTTTGCAATGGAACAGAACACACTGAAACGAAGAGGAGTCGGCCTGACCGGAGTCGACAAACAACGCTCCTTCGGAGGTTACACTCTCTTCTGCCCACTCACCAGCGATACTGCACACTTGGTCGACATAGACGGCAAGGAAGTCCATTCATGGAAACTCCCAGGAAGAATTGGTCGACATGCCAGGATTTTGCCTAACGGCAATCTCGCAGTCAACACTCTTCGCCCGTCGCCACAACGCACGACACAAGATGGAGGCCCATTCCCTTTTCCTTTTTTCAACAAATATGGCGGCGGCATCATGAGCGAATTGGACCCTAGTGGAAAGGTTGTTCGTCAATTCACCGACCCCTTCGGCCACCACGACCAATACCACTACGGCGATGGTCGCATGTTGTACACCAGTCTCGAGGCGTTGTCACCTGAGGACTCCGCCAAAGTGATCGGAGGCGTCCCCGGATCTGAAATTGATGGCATAACGTATGCTGATACGATTAATGAGGTCGATGCGAACGGCAAACTCGTCTGGCAGTGGAAAGTGTCGGAGAGACTGCCGAGGGAGGAATATCCACTGCAGCCACATTACACCCGGGAACATTACCCTCTGATCAACGCAGTCCTTCCAATGCGGGATGGAAAGCATATTCTGGCATCTATGCGGTCGGTGTCAGCAGTAGTCATCATCGAGAGATCCACAGGCGATATTGTGTGGAAACTTGGATCGGATGTGCTCGCCCAACAACACAATGCTACCGAGCTGGAGAACGGCAATATCTTGATCTTCGACAACGGTGCATTCAGAACCGGTCAGTCCATTCAATATACGCGTGCAATTGAGGTGGACCGTAAGACCAAAGAGATCGTCTGGGAATACCACGATCGCTCACAAATGGTATACTTCTTCACGCCGTTCATGGGTAGTGCACAAAGATTGGCCAATGGGAATACCCTGTTATGCGAGAGCGCTTTTGGCCGTGTTTTCGAGGTCACCACCGACGGCTACATCTGCTGGGAGTACGTCAACCCGCATTTCGCGCCATATCCCGATGCGGCAACGGCCAAGCTGTTTCCGGGAGAATCAAATGCCTTGTTCAGGGCGTACCGGTATTCGTTGGAGGAGATTCCTTGGTTGCAGCGTAAATTGGAGGGGCTCGAGAATCCTCGGGCTGGTGGCATAAGTGGGATGTGCAGACAGCAATGAGAACCTAGCAGAGGACTTTGAGTGGTAGTGAAAATAGAGATTTTAGTTACGACGGACGTCGGAAGTGTTTGAATCTTTCACAAATCCAGACTTGCCGCGACTTCATAGTGTCCTTCATCTCAAGTGTAGTTACATTTGTAAAGTCGTTGCCGGCTTGCCGGGAAATCGCCCGCCGTTCAGGCGGCGGCCCTCCCGTTTCGGGTATGGTCGCAGGCTGGGCGCGCCGCCGCTTTTGACGTCGCATATAGATGAAACACGACCAGAATGTTAAAGAGATTCACAGGAAGACTTCCACAATTCATGAGCCTTCTTGAGATCATCTAGTACTGCTTGTGCGGTTGTAAAGTTTCCGTTCCAACACTTCGAAATAACTGGTCCACTTGGGAGGCCTTCCACATCAGGAAAGCAGCCCTGAAGATAATGGTCTTTAACCGTCTTCTCATCCAGATCTGCATAAGGCTCTCTAGTCGTCCAGAGTTCGTAGAGGGTACACCCAAGAGCAAATATCTCTGTATGGATATTTACCCCGTCGTTCTCATCTTCTGTATACATTTGATGGCGTGCTTTGTAGGATATCTTTGCGTCCTCGCCATCAATCGAAGAGCCTGCAAAATCGCAAAGCTTAGCATCATTTTTGTAATCGAGCAATACATTGTGACATCCGAGATCAGCATGCAAGACGCCTTTGGAATGAGCAAATGCGACGCTTTCTGCGATCTGGATTGACCATACCCAAGCTAGGGTACAATCCACTCCGCCCTCTTGAAGTGTGCATAGGTATTTTCCTAGATTCTTTTCAAGCCGTTCAAGGACAAGGCCGTTCTTCTCTTTAGAAGTATACCGACAGATTCGAGGATGGTGCCCTAATCGCTCATAGGCACGTTGTTCGATTGTCAGAAGTTGTAAAGATTCCGTATCGTTCGGGTGTAGGGGCAGGGGGAATATCTTAATGACACGATCTTCATCGAGGACGTGGACAACTGCACAAGTGCCGATGTCCAAGACTTCTAGAGCATGAGGGTTGGAAGGCTGGTACGTATCAGCCCTGATGTGGCCGATCAAAGTTGAAGCAAATTGTCCCATCACACCAGCAATTAGGGCCGATTTGGGGTCAAAAGCATGGAGGGATGAATCTTGGTTACTCGTTAATTCTCCAAATGCCATTCAGTTGAGGGCAGTAAGTACGATTTGTCGGGAATCCGTGAGCTAGCTAGAACATGCTGTTGTCCATAAAGGTCGATGCAGTCAACAAAAAGCGTCGACATCTACCGCGAATGCTCCTCTCGGTCCGGCGACTTACTCCTT